CTGCTTTCGTGTCTTGTTGCCTCTCGCATGAGCCTGGGCTTCATCCAGGTGTCCTTCCAATTTCCTAAGCACAAGTGTCATTAAAATCAACTAGTATACAGGGGCCTTTGGCCTAAAAGTTGACAGGCCAGAAATATAAGGTTTGGGATCAGATGACCCTTCATGGGACCAAGTTGTAGCACTGACACACCTGGGACCTTGAGCAAGTCTCCCCTCGCCCCCTCTCTGTGGGAGGAGGACGAGGAACTGCCCAGCTGTCTCTGAGGTGGTGGGGGAAGAACATCCTGCACGGAGGCCAGGGCAGGGCTGGGGGGGAACCTGAGCATGGCGGGACCCTCTGTGCCTGAGATCTCAGCTGGAAGGGGATGTGCAGGAGGGACGCCCTCCCATGAGCCGACAGGCAGACACAATGACAGGGCAGAATGAGGTTCTGGTGTGCAGGGATGCAGAGGAGGCTACTCAACTGGGCCACACAGATCTGCCAGGGAGGCAGATGACCTGCCAGGTCAGCACATGGCGCTGTGCACCTTCCGGGCTCAGGCCTTAAAACAAGGAGCAGCACTGGAACTGCCCAGCCCTGGGGCTCCAGCTGGCATTGGCCAAGGGGTCCGGGGCTCCAGGAGGTCCTGAGCAGGCATGTAATGTGGGTGCCAGGGATCTGAGCCCTGGACAGAATGAGCTCATCCCTGGAGTGAGGGTGAGGAGGGGAGAGAATGGAGGGCTAAGGCTTGAGCAGGTCGCCATTAAGTGGCCAAGAAGAGGGGGAGGGGCTAGCAAAAGAGGATGATAAGGAACTGCCATAAGGGGACACCAAAGCAAGAGGAGGGGTGACAGAGGAGGGAGTGACAGAGGAGGGAGTGACTAGCCAGGTTGACAGTTTGAGGAGGCAGAGCTGAGGAGGAGCCTTTGGATTTTGGGACCTAATTTTATCCCTTACAACTGAGAATGCAGGCTGGCCCCTTCTTCCTTCGACAGAGCAGACAGTATGTGAAGCCAGTTTCGCAGTTTATTCTGAGAGAGGAGTTCCATGGGAGCCCTTGGCTGATCACATCCCACAGCTCTGTGCAGAAGCCCGGCCATAGAGCCCTCAGCTCTTCCTTGTCATGTGGGCAGCACACGGGTCTGGGCCAGAATCCTGGACCACAGCTGCCCTACCCACCCCAAGGGCTCAGAACTCGCAGATCACAAGGCGTGTCACTTCACAGGGTACGTCGTTCCACTTGCCGGTGGTGTACATCTCCACACAGTACTGATTGCCTCCGTAGTTGTTGGGCTCCCCGGGGGACCAGTTGGTATAGACCAGGGGCGCCCCTCCTGGGTACGTGAACTTGCCCTCCACCTTGGACAAAGTCATGCTCAGGAACGCAGCACCTTTGTTCTCAATGTCGACCAGCTGTTGCAAGGCGTGGTTCTCAGCTTCAGAGCGTGGGGAGGGCAGCTGCCCCCCGGCCTGTGCGCACACTTGCTGTGCCTCCTGGAAAGGTTTCTGAAAGCCTGCTGACTTGAAGACCTTCTGGCCAACATCTCGGCCATGCGGGAAGAGCTCCACTAGGAGGAGAGCACAGTCAGGGTGGGGTTCTGGGGTTCTCCATGGCTCTGAGACCTTTGTGCTCCAACCAGAGCCCCAGGCCTCCCATATAGGGCCTCAGAGCACCAGGGAGGACAAAGGTGAGACCCCGGATCCGCGGTGCGCTCTGGGAGGTGGATCTGCCTGTCTAGTTACAGGTGAGGACACTGGGCTCAGAGAGATTAAGTAAGAGGCTCAACATCATGTGACCATCACATGCAGAGTTGGGGGGTCACCTTTACCTGATCTCACACTAGAGCTGCGATGTGCTCTTTCTATTGCACACCATGTTGCATGGCAGAATCGGTCTCCCAGTTACTGGCCGGACTGAGAAGCTTTGGCATCGTGCAGCCTCTGAGCGCTGGGAACAAGGAAGAAGCGCCCTCTGATCTCACCATGGACCCTGCATAACAGCAGGGCATGAGGCACTGACAGGGAGGTCCGTGCCGGGTGTGGGTGTGGGAAAGAAGAGGAGAGGGTGGGCCATCTGAGGGCAGCGCTGTGCTAATCTCTGCACTGTGTGCGCCCAGTGCTGGCCTCTAGGTGTGCATGTGGGGGAGGCTGGAGAGCTGGAGAGAGGACAAGGACAGCTGAGAGGTGTGCATGGGCATCAGGGGCAGGAGAGAGTCAGTGCTGGAGAGAGGCCTGTCTGGGAGTCAGAGGGCCAGATGTTCAGCACCGCTTTGGCCATGACTGTCCAGGTGGACAAGGGAAAGTCACTTCCTTTTGGGGGTTTCCTGTTCCTTATCTTAATATGGGAACACAATTTATAAAAGCATCACCTGTGTGACATTCAACTATATGTTCTCATTCTATCTCAGTTTCCATCCTGTGTGTGTGTGTGTGTGCGCGCGCGCGTGCTTTAATATATTTTTATTGACCTCAGAGAGGAAAGGAGAGGTAAAGAGAGATAGAAACATCAATGATGACAGAGAATCATTGATTGGCTGCCTCCTGCACGTCCCCTATTGGGGGTCACACCTACAGCCCAGGCACATACTTTGACCAGAGATCAAACCATGATCTCTTGGTTCATAGGCCGATGTTCAACCACTGGGCCATACTGGCCAGGCTCATTTTCCATCCCTTTGACTTCTGGGTTCATGCATAGAAGCCTTCAGTGCTCCTGAGAGGGCTGTGCTCCAGCCCCAAAGGGCCGGTGAGGTGCCCAGGCTGCACCCTGACCCACTGTGACCCTTCCACATGGGTTCAGGGGGCAGACTCTCCACAGGCTCAGGAGGGCACCCAGAGCAGCCCTGGACAGGAGTTCATCTGCCATTCACTACATGCACCCGGCTGGGTCTGTGTGTGCATACACGAATATGGCTACATGTCCATCTGAAGGTATATGTGAGCACTGAAGGCCCACCTGGGTGTGTGTGAATATGCATGTGTGCTCATGGGTATAGATGACACGAGGTGAGTGATGGCATGTGTGTAATACACACACATGTTTCAGGTGTATACCATGAATTTTCCTTTTTTTGCATCAGTGTGCATGTGAGGGAGAGAGTGCACATGCATGTTTGTGGATAGAGGGAGACATACCAAATGTTTGAAACCTCACCCTTGGTATGTGGGTACTTGGTGGCCTTAGGTATGTAGGAACCAACCCTAGGTCTCACCCCTGTGTGCTCTCCTCCTTCAGAATCTCCTCTTTGGATCAATGAGATTTGCTGAATGATTTGAGCTCAAAGCTGACATGGGGAAAGCGGGGAGGAGGGGGGCAAATTAGGACTGAGGTGGAGATGTCCAGAGGCACAGGCACTGGGCTGTGCTGCTGGAGCCTCTGACTCCTCAGCACCGAGGTTAGGGCAGAGTCTCCACCATAAACACCCAGGGAGGAGCGGGAGAGCCCAGCACTGGGCAGAGCCCAGAGGCAGCTTGCCCTCAGCCGGACCCAGGACATTTCTCAGTTGAGGCTCTCAATGGCCACATGCCAAGGTCAGACCTTTACAGCCATGAGCGCTCAACACTCAGGGCAGTGTCTGGAGTCACTGCTGCTGTGGGCTGGGCACAACATCTTGAGGGATCTGCACCCCCAGCCCCAGAGAGATAAGAAATGTATCCTGGGTAGTGGGGTGTCCAGGGACCAGCACTGGTCAGCAAGAGGGAAGGTCAGAACTGCACTTGGTTTGGGGCATTGATCTGGCTTGGGTCACTGGTGGCTGTGATGGTGGGGGCTGGAGCCTGGTAGCCTTGATCATGTTGGCACCAGCCCACTGAGCTGGTGTAAGGGCCACACCCTGCTCCATGTCCCTTGAATCTGCTTTCAGCTCCTGGACCATGTGGCTGCCCTTCTCTGCCCCACCCTATTCTTTGCCCCAGGTCTAGCCCATCATCCAATCCCGCTAGCATCCTAGAGCCCCCAATCCTAGAACCAGACTTGCCTCAGGCCCGGCCAACTCCAAACCCAAAAAAGGTCCCCGCCTGGGGCCTGCTCTTGGCGACTGGCTCAGGTTCAGGTCCAGGTTCAGGAACTCACCTTTCTTATACTGAAGGAAGGCTCCCTCCAAGGCCTTCACCTGCTGCCTCAGAACAGCGATATCTGCAGGAGAGAGAGGGCCAGTGAAGACCAGTCCCTCACAGCCATGGGTCGGCTCAGAGTCCGGGTCCCAAGGGAAGGTGCTCAGAGATAGGCTTTCCTGGGGAGGGTAAGGGGCTGGGCCCCAGGAAGCCCACAGCCACTGACACAGCTGGCCCTGCTGCCCACAGGTTCCCTGAGGCTCTGTTGTGAGCACACTGTGCCCTGAGCATGTCCTGGCACCCCACTAACTCTGATCCAGAGGGCATTTCACAGCACATTCTGAGAGGCTGGGAGCACATTGCTGAGGGGAGAGATGGCATTGCACAACCCTGAAGTACTCCCCATCCCTGGGTTATTTGGTGCTCCCTTTTGGGGGTTGGTTTAAATACATTCCCCTGCATTCCTGAGGGACTCTGTTCCAGCTGGCTTGGGCACACCTGCAGGTCCTGGAGGTCCTGGGAAAAAAACCAGCCAGTAAGTGCACTGAGTCTTCTCAGAAGGGGGAGAGTGTGAGAAGGTGTGAGAGCAGTCATAGAGGTCAGAGAACAGCACCATCCTACAGATGTTGCCCAGCAGTATTACAACCTTCCCTGTGCGAACCCAGTGCCACCTGCAGGGCACCCTCCTTTCTGGGATGGGCATGTGCATCCTCCTGCATGGCCTACTGGCAGGCATTGCAGTCCACGCCCACTGCTCACCACATGGCTCCGAGTCTCCCTTCGGTCCAGGTTCTCCAGCAGAGCTATTGTCCCCTTTGGGAACATCCGGCATCCCCATTGCCCCTGTGTCTCCTGGTGAACCTGTAGCAGCAGAAGAAATGGACATTAAACCTGGCCCTGGGCCTAGGAAGAGCAGCACTGCAGGTCAGCCCTGCATTCCTTCAGGTTCCGCAGGTGTAGACTTTCCAGCTCCACACTCCTCAGTCCAGTGGTGACCCAGGAGACGGGTGTGCACATCCCCATGTCATAGGTGAGGAACCAGGGCTGCCAGAGCTGGAGGGGGGGTCAAGCCAAGAACTGTCTTATGTCCATGCAGTGCACCCTCCCTGCCCTGAGGCTGCAGGATTACAGCAGGGGATCTTCCAGCTTTTACCCTGGATCATGAACTCCTTGCTTTCCCCTTCCTAGGACCAAACTTTATATCAGAAATGATCCCTGACATGAGTCACCAGGGAAATGCAAATCAAACCACAATGATAT